TTTGAAAAGCAAGAAAGTATTGATAAAGGCCTATAGCTAGATGCTAAAAAATCGTCGCTCTTTTTATAAATAAGGACTTCTCTTGCTACTTTTAATTTATTAGGAAAAACACCAGTTTTTAAAGATAAGTTGAATAATGTTAAAAGAGGCAACTCAATAATATGAAATGCTGATTTCAAAGCAATTGCATTGATTTCGTCGATTCCCGGACTCTTGATGATTTTTAGTAAATTCTAGCTTGTTCGAAGTTCATCCGAGGATATTTCAAACTCATTCATAACTGAGTATGTTTTTTTTAAAAAAAGACACACGTTTTGTTTCCCGGGACTATTTTTTCGGCTAAATTTTTACCAACGTTTATAAAAAGTTCATTAAACATATCAGCTATTTTGTCTTTGTCAAAAACATTTGTGTTCATTTGTTTCTGTTATCTTGTTATCTGTGTTATTTGTTTGTAAACGCTTTGGAAAAACAGTGTTTATGTTTAATTTCTTTTTTCCAGTTACTTCTTTTATTATATCCCATTTTTTTCTAACACTTTCAAACAAAATTTGATGACAAGGATTGGTTAAAAAAACTGCGACCAAAATTTTAAAATGTCAGTTTTGTTATGGAACTTCGTTGGTAGAAGCGCAATATTTACTTTATTTACAATATTTTAACTTAGGTACATATTCTACTACAAAAAATTAGGTGTCTGCTACATAATCTTTTTCAATAAAATTTGGCATGCACGTTGAAAATACGTTTTCAAAATTTTCTCAATAGTTTCAAAAATGTTCTCAACATTTCTTCAAATTTTAATTTGACATGTGATCAAAAACAAAGTTTTTAAGAAAAGTAAATGCAATAAAAGCGGTAACTTCAAAAAAAAACAATCGAAAATTGAAGTTTAACTCTTCCACTTTTTAAAAAAAGTCTATGCTGATATAAAATCCTAAAAAATAACACAACAAAATACATTCTTACAACTCAAACGCTAAGCACGCTTTGATAAAATGGTCGAAGATATTGATTACATAATCGGTGCCGTAACTCATTGGATACGCACGTACCTAATTTATACCTCCGACATAAACAAGCGTTTTTTCAACTTTTTTCTGAATTATACAAACAACCATATTTTTACTTTGTATGATAATAATTAAATATCTTTTGTTTATATGTGAAAGCATGATTTATCATCTTTGATTTTTAAAGATCTTTTTTATTTTGAAACCATTAAACAAGTTTAACATGAGGAATAATAATTATTTAAATGAACCATTCTGTCGAACAAAATTCAATCAATTTTGTATCACTTGTTGTGCAGCTCATCTCTGGAACAAAATTATTTTGCCTAACTTCGATTTACCCCTAACTTATCCTGTTTTTAAAAATAAATCAAAAGACCACATTCTTTCTATTGAAAATATCCTAGAATATTTTTAATTTATTTTGTGATAAAAAACAAAATAATAATAATTTTTATTGTCATGTATGTTCAAGTTATTGTCATGTATGTTCAAATTTTGTTTTATACTTGTTTACAATTTATTTTTCATTTATGTAAATACGATTTATTGTTTTTATATGATTTTTTACGTACTTTTATTGAAGTTTTTATAAGATTTTTACGTACTTTTATTGTATTTTTTTGAATAAGAGAACAGCTAGTATGACCGAACTTTCAATATCATCTCATATGTTCGGTTACTATAAAACATTCCTATCAAAATTATAAGTTAAAATCGCAATAACGTATCTTTACAATATCACAAATTTAACAACAAAAATTACAAAAACTAGTTTTCTAATGTTATTTTATTAAAAAAATTGTTTAATTTAGTTTTTTTAATCTATCATTATTTTTTGAGGATACCATGGAGTTGGATCACGGCGATCTATACTGAAGGCCTTGCCATCGCGCAAACAGCTTAGTTGACTGGGGGCCTATTTTATTTTAACGGCAAAAACAAAACAAAAAAATGTTCAGTAATTTTATATTAACTCAATGAACTTTTTACTCTCAAACTGTTTCATTTTATAACAAACAAACTAAAATTCAAACAAAATATTTCTTAACTTATAAATTTTTTCAAATTCAAAAACAAAAATCATATATATATATATATATATATATATATATATATATATATATATATATATATATATATATATATATATATATATATATATATATATATTCCTAAAGATCCAGTAGTAGTGTAGTAGCGAAACTCAGAGTTGAAGAAAAAAGATAGATAAATATTTTTAATAATTAATTATTGCTCTGTTCTCTATATATATCTATATTCTATATATATATATATATAAATATATATATATATATATATATATATATATATATATATATATATATATATATATATATATATATATATATATATATATATATATATATATATATATATATATATATATATATATACTTACACACTTAAATAATCATATACATAAAATTACAATTAAAAATTTGTGATAAGAATACAATAATATTTTAAGAATTCATGACAATTTTAATATTTTTTGAGCTGGTTCTTTATTTGAACGAGGAGTTGAAAGTTTACATAAATTGCTTAAAAAAATGTTTGAAAGAATATTTCCGTGATGTCGATGCATCTCAAAGTTGTAAAACTCTGATATCATCATTAGAATATTGCTCAATGAAACTCTGCATACTTTATCTTTAATCGTATTAAAAATTATAAAAGAAAAAATTACCCATTGACAGGTATTATCTGTGGGAATAT